GTAGTCAAAGAGAAGTGTGTGTTTAAAACACAACTCAAAGTCCTTCCATGCATGTTAATTAAAGCTATACCTTTCACTGTATTTCAGTCTTACCCAAATGCGTTTGGTAATACTTGACTATTTTGAATGTATGAATGCATGTAGGACAGAAATAAAGAAACGTTGTGTGTTATTTAACAACTTTAAAAAGGTATTCATAAGTTTTTATGCTTTTTGATCATGAGCCATTTTCAAGATAATTATTCTGCTCGTTGCTCAACAACAGCAGCTTGTACACTTATTTGTAAGATGGCAGCTTCCTTTCAGCAAACTATATCAATTCACCTCAAAACATTCCTCCGAGCAACAACGGTGTCTGCCAACACGGGCCGTGTCTTCTTCAATGGCCAGAGACAAGTGACACCATTGTGGGAGGAAATAGTCAAAGCTGCATGATATGCTGGTTTTGTCATTACTAGACAATTATTCATTTCAAGGTGCGAGTCTTACAGCTGCTCCGTGTAGACACATCATCAGACAGCTGGATTCAACGCCATTCAATGTGTTGTCTTCACTTTTCTTTCATTTTAAACTTTGAGGTTTCACAAGACAGAAGCGAGCCTGGTTTGTATAGTAGCAAGTAACCAGCTCCAAGTCCTCGTGGAAAACGAGCCAGCGGATTCTATTGATTAGTAGCTCAGGACACGCTTGAATGTCACTGTTAACCCCATGCAACTAAATTGACCGCACTATTTCCAGGAAATAAACAGCACCCCTGTTATGTATTGTCTCAGAACAGGAACACAAGTACATGTTACAATGTACACAATGTTTCTTGTGATCTGCGCTACATTTAGTCTCTTTCTTTGTTTCATTCAGCTTGAAGGCAAATTAACAAAAAAAAGCAACTTTCATGAGGAATAAAAATAAACATGCACTGGGCCGATACATGATCAGATCTGCTTTCCTGCAGCAGCTGATCCTCGGCTGTGAGAATGAATGCACACTTTCAGCACTGTGTACAAAAGCCCACGCTAAAAAGTTCCCAGTGTTCGGTGTGAGCAAGGCGACATTCAGAAGGCCATCTGGCTGTTTTATTTGACATATTCTTTCACTACAAAAACGTGGTGTTCTTGTATTTCATGGGGTGCTTTGGCGATCTTTTCTAACAAGAGCACGACAAGAGGGCACGGTTCCTCTTTCACACGGTTGTTTCCCAGAGTGTTTGTCCACTCCCACTGCACGTCAAGCACAAGGAGGCAGAAACTGACTGGAAGGAAATCAAATCTAAAACTCTAAGAAGCTGTATGGATATTTAAAAAAAAGAAGAAGAAAATCTCACTCAGAAAGGAACTGTGAAATATCTCCCTATGTGGCTGCAGCAGCAATGTGATGATTCAAGAGACCTTTTGTATGTTCCCAAATCCCGGCATCAACCACCAGTGCACAGTGTCCAAACAGCAAACCGTCTGACCCTGGCACGACGTACTCAGGCAGGAAGGCGCTGTGATTGGCAGATCGGAGCGACACCGGGTGGGAAAAGTGGTCGGTGGAAAGTTGGTATTTAGCGACATGGAGCCTCCTCCTCTTCCTCCTCCTCCTCCTCTTCCTCACGCAGATTCCATGTAACGTTAGATGAGTATCTTCATGACCGTGGGTTTGTCCTAAATGTTTTATTGAGAGTCTGGCACAACACAGCGACTTGCAAGTAGCGTATTAAATAAAGTGATGTGTCTTAATGCGGCTTTGCAAATGAACACAAAGGGATTCTGTATTTGCTCATGAAGCCTGAACATACTGGTTATTTGGCCAATGTTTTGATAACCGACCGCTGCCAGTTCAGTGTTTCCCATCATTATAAACAGGGGTGCGTCCCCCCCATGACGTAGTAAACCTGGGGGAGACACTGCAGTCTACCTCATCAATGCGAACAACGCGTGTGTGACTCGTGTCACTGGAAAATGGGTTGTGGTTTTATCTGTTTAAGTCAGATACATTTGTTGTTGTTGTTGTTGTTTCCACCATCCCAACGGCAGGTCACGTGATCTGCAGGCACCTTCTGATCACATTGTAACGGACTGACGTGTTGTGTGAGCGAGGTTACGCATTAAGAGTTTGTCCTTAATGGAATTTCTTACATTACTTTTACTTTTATACTTTAAGTAGTTTTACTTTTATACTTAGGTAAAAAGCTTGAGTCGATACTTCAACTTCTACAGGAGTCTTTTTTAAACCCTAGTATCTGTACTTCTACTGAGTAATGAATGTGAATACTTTTGACACCTCTGGTAACTGGAGAGATCCTCTTTAAGTACAGGACAGTCTGACCACTGTTGCAATTTTGGTGGTGCTGCCGTGTCGAGACCCGGCTCCTAAGGCAGAGAGAGAGAGAGAGAGACAAACAAACAGAGAGCCATAAAAGCATGAAACACCATGAGTGGATTTAAATTGTTGGAAGAGTGTTCTCTTCCCCTGGGGCAGGTGGTGATGGTCAGTGGAGGGCACTGACCTCTGGCTTATGGCCCAAGGTTGATCCTCACATTTCGCTAAAACATTGAGTCAGAGACCGAGTACAAGCAGTTTATCGCTGCTGTTTACTCCCAGGATCATACTTACTTTTATAATCAAAACAGAATCTTTGTTTGAGTTCTTCAAAGGTGAAAAAGAGAGACCCATTTAGTACATTCAACAAGACTTGACCTGCTTTTTTTAAGTGGTGCTTTGAGCTAAACACTAACATCAGCATGCAAATATCCTCACAGGGAGGAAGCTAACATGCTGCTGTTTGACGACCTGTAACGTTTACCCCGTCTATCATCTCGGTTTAGCATGTTAACATCTGCCATCTGCCTTTTTTATGTCAATCAATCAATTGATTTTACCTGGTTAAATAAAGGTAAAAAAAATGTCCTGAATTGAACTCAACACAAAGTACATTTGAGTTTGATAAATTATTAGTCTTTAAAGGTCAAATTAGATTAGAGATTAGTGTTCTTTTGAGGTGTGAGTAGGGTGATTTATTGTGACCCACCTTTGGTCGTTGCTACGACTAAAAATGTAGCCTCTGTTTAAACAACACTCATTTTCAAGAGATGTTACGTCTGGTGAGCCTTTATTTGCTTTGAGCTAAATGGTCCTGAAAGCAAGTTAGAAGTTTACTACAGTCTTCCATTTAGTTTAACATTAGTCTAACATTTGCCAAACTAAGAATAGTCCGACAGCTAAGTTGGAAAGGAGAAGGTTTTGCACGCCATTCCCCGTACACTTTGGACACATTTAAGTGACAATGGTTGAGGATTTTAATTTCAGTTATTACTTTTATCGTGGCTGAAAGAAATGCATCAGCACTCATGGAGCCAGCATTTATTGACTTCCTTCTGGGATTCCTTCAATCTAGTGCTGACATAGCAAGTGCACTCAAACTTCCGAACGAACATACCCCTATCACGATGGTAGAAGGTATAAACCTCCTTGGGTGTTTTACTGCAAATATAATGTGTCTTAACTGTTTTTAATTTGAGAACAACATTGATTAAACTTGTGATTTAATGTACTGTATACCAGGGGCTAGTCGTGGCGCAGGGGGTAGAGCGGGTGTGCTGGGAACTGCAAGGTTGGTGGTTTGAGTTCCGGCTGCCCCATGTTTCAAGTCAAAGTGTTCCTGAGCAAGATACCTAACCCCTAATTGCTCCTGGAGCAAAAATGTAAAAAGCTATGGGTTTAAAGTGTAATGTGAGTCGCGTCTGCTAAATGACTTGTAATGTACACATTTATTCACTAATCAGACCAAAGGTAAGTTGTGTAAGTGGTACGAACTGAACCAAAATCCATAGCGTATTTATATAACAATGGCATAGCTTACTCATCCTCAGTGACCAACAGTTTGGCACAATGACAAAGTAGGCTGTAATTTCACCTGTATGGAAAAAAAAGAGGATTAGTCAGAGAGGTAGGGACCCAAAAAAACAAACAAACATGCAAGTCATTAGTGGACACTAAACTGTGCACTGACTTTCTTTAATTATGTGGCTGGCATGTGATGGTGTTTCAATAGACCAAGGGTTAAATATTGTTCTTTCTTTCTTTGCTTTGACCGAAAAGAACAGCACGTATGAATGTAGTAATCACATGAGGTCCAATGAGTCAGTCAGGCTCAGACGGGTAAATAAGTCCAAACTACCTGTTATTGTAACAAAGTGTGATCTGGCTGCTGTCTAGCAGGATATACTTGCTGCAGTGGTATTGGGTCCTTATCATCAACACTGCGTGCGAGTGAAAGCCAAATAATTTCCTGAAACATGTACGGATAAGATCACATGTCTCTGCCCGTTTCATACCATTCTGAGAAATCCTTTGGCTTTATTTTGATCTGGATTCTGAAGATGTGTTTGGCTTTAAAGTGTTTTCAACTTTAAACTTTACATGAACAACTTCATGAGGACCAGGGATCTAAACGCAACACTTTGTTGTTTTTGTCTGTTTACTTGCAATGCTTTTGAAACTTCATGGTCCTTTATTGTTTCCACTGTCCCAACAAAAGAGACCTTAACGTCCTACATCGGTGCAATACATTATTTTTTTGGCTGCATCATAAACCAGCCATTCTAAACTGGACCCTGTAGGATATTAGAAACAAATATACGAACCGGTTCATAAAATTAATAAAAATGCATATAGTGTACACCAGAATACAGCCATGATTCTGAAACTGTGTAATCAATAAAGTAATGACAATATTGTAAAACCATTGTAAATCTGCAACTGTAATAGAATAATACCAATGCAGTTATGATTGTATTTGATGTAATGTAATCAACTGGAATGCATGCATGTAATACTTGCACAACAACTGATATTGACTAAGGATCATTCGAAATCCGAGACCAGCGGCTCCTCAGCTGAGATGTTCTTTTTACCACAACGCCATCTCCTTTATTAAATACATTTGATTTTAACCTTTTGATCAGCGATGACCTCTGTCCGTCCGGCGTTTCTTCATTTTTGAACACAACAAAACCGTGACGTTAATTGTCCAATTCACTTTACTATATAGGATGCACTTGTACATTTACTGTGATATGATAACCGAAGGGGCATTGTCCTCCTTGAAAAGTTAGTTAAGTAAAGGACTCCTAATATAGTGCCATGGAGTCTGACTGTCTATTCTATCATGTTAATGCTAGCTTTACCTCACATCGTCTGGAATTTTCCCCTTAAAAGCATCCCGTATTTGAAGGAGGACTGCCCCATTGTCCCAGGTTTTGTTGAACTCGAAAGCATTCAGGATGTGCCCGTTTTTGTACAACTCCTCCTTCTTCCGCTGCTTGACAACTATGTCGTCTGTAGGACTAAACAGCAAAATAACGTCCTTGTTAAAGGTCCGATGGTACGGCGTTTTCTGTCGGACTCTGAAAAAAAAGTACAAGTCAAACAAGCTAACGTTAGCTACTTAGGCTAACACCAATGCTAGCTAGCAAGCAACACTACGGTTACTATGGAATGCCGGTTATCCTAAACAATACAACAAAAATAATTCAACTTACTTTTGTCTTGGTTTGGATTTCCATGTGCTATAAGTTGCCCTCGTTTCATAGCGGGGACAACAGTTCCGTATTTCGTTGCCTGGGGCTGGTGTGGTTTGCATGCTGCTAGACCCGAGTTCGTAGAGAGACCTTATTTCCAAATTAACTGCTGCATTCGAAGGTGTAGCTACAGAGCTAGTTATGGAGTTTATTAGCGTAGGTGATACAGAGTTAGAAATCAAGTTAATTAGAGTAGGTGACTGAAGCAGGTTTCTGAGTAGGGATACAGCTTCCGCTGTCACAAGTCTATTGTCCGCTGCCATACCATTGACCGTTGGCCTTGGCTAAGATTGGCGCTTTTTCACTACTTTGTTTCCGCCTTCCGGTGTAACTGAGATGCCTTCCGGTGTAACTGAGATGCCTTCCGGTGTAACTGAGATGCTCTCGCGTTGTATAGTGAAATGCTCTCACACACACTAATGAGATGGCATGAGTGTCTCAGTAGTGTGTGTGAGAGAGTGTCTCAGTAGTGTGTGTGAGTGTGTCTCAGTAGTGTGTGTGAGTGTGTCTCAGTAGTGTGTGTGAGTGTGTCTCAGTAGTGTGTGTGAGTGTGTCTCAGTAGTGTGTGTGAGTGTGTCTCAGTAGTGTGTGTGAGTGTGTCTCAGTAGTGTGTGTGAGTGTGTCTCAGTAGTGTGTGTGAGTGTGTCTCAGTAGTGTGTGTGAGAGTGTCTCAGTAGTGTGTGTGAGAGTGTCTCAGTAGTGTGTGTGAGAGTGTCTCAGTAGTGTGTGTGAGAGAGTGTCTCAGTAGTGTGTGTGAGTGTGTCTCAGTAGTGTGTGTGAGTGTGTCTCAGTAGTGTGTGTGAGTGTGTCTCAGTAGTGTGTGTGAGTGTGTCTCAGTAGTGTGTGTGAGTGTGTCTCAGTAGTGTGTGTGAGTGTGTCTCAGTAGTGTGTGTGAGTGTGTCTCAGTAGTGTGTGTGTGAGTGTGTCTCAGTAGTGTGTGTGAGTGTGTCTCAGTAGTGTGTGTGAGAGTGTCTCAGTAGTGTGTGTGAGAGTGTCTCAGTAGTGTGTGTGAGAGAGTGTCTCAGTAGTGTGTGTGAGTGTGTCTCAGTAGTGTGTGTGAGTGTGTCTCAGTAGTGTGTGTGAGTGTGTCTCAGTAGTGTGTGTGAGTGTGTCTCAGTAGTGTGTGTGAGTGTGTCTCAGTAGTGTGTGTGAGTGTGTCTCAGTAGTGTGTGTGAGTGTGTCTCAGTAGTGTGTGTGAGAGTGTCTCAGTAGTGTGTGTGAGAGTGTCTCAGTAGTGTGTGTGAGAGTGTCTCAGTAGTGTGTTTGAGTGTTTAGTGTCTCAGTAGTGTGTGTGAGAGTGTCTCAGTAGTGTGTGTGAGAGTGTCTCAGTAGTGTGTGTGAGAGTGTCTCAGTAGTGTGTTTGAGTGTTTAGTGTCTCAGTAGTGTGTGTGAGAGTGTCTCAGTAGTTAAGTCCTAAACGGACCCTCATACGAAGGTGCTCTGTGGGGCACGCCGCAGGAAGTACGTAGAGGCTGAAAAGGAGGGAAAGCAAAGCTGCAATAGTTCACACAAGGGTGAGATGTGTTGTTTAAGCCGGAGTTGAATTTGTTCGTCATCCTCCCTCTGCCTCTAGGCTGTCCCATGTTCAGCCATATAATAGAGGCCGCCTTTTTCACTAGTATGTTAATCCTGCCTGCCTCCTCTGCCTCGGTGCTGCCTCCCCTCCCCTGCACACCACCACAGAATGGACTGCTGCCCGAAACTCATTGAAGGAACACATTGAATTGCTGTTCACATTGAAAAGCATTAGAGCCCTCTCAAGACTGCGACTCCACCCTGTGATGTGAAAGTGACGACTGGCATGCTTGCAGAGTTGAATATGTAATCGCACGCTGAAAATAAACGTCACTCACTTGACTCTATGGGCCGACACTGGGGCCATGTCTATGTGCTGCCGTCATTGTTACTACACATCACAGCGTGGTGCCTTTGTCCGCTCAACACAATAAAGCTCAAAAGAGCAGAACAAAGCGGACGCGGCTTTGTTGCGCCCATTTGCTGGTCAGTCCTGGCCCTATTCAGGCTGCATTGATCGGCGGAGTGGCTGGGGAGGGATGTGCCTCGCAGGCGAGGGGACCTGATTCTGAAACACACCATTCAGCAGAGTGGCGAGTCCGCAGGCGCTGCATTGACTCGCCATGCTGATGCTATAGCGACGGGGGTCTCTTTTCTATGGCCATTCAACAGAGGCACTTATATGGCGTGTTATCCACAAGGGATGGAGCGCCTCATGCTCGAGTCTAAAGGCAAGACTGCACCGGGCCCCATGGAAAACACATGGGGTACATATATTAAATGATGCAAAACATAATTGTTTGAGACATTTTTTTGTCAATAGAATATCAAGAAATAGTGTGAGATGCTTTTTATGAGCCACAGCTATCAAAAAAATGAATAAAGATATTCAATGTAAAACACTATAAAACAGAGAAACAGCACGTAACACGTAGAACTAACTAAAATGATGAATTGATTATTGTCATTGACAAATAATTGTTTGGGATCAATAAAACATGCCCTTGGACATATAGATACCAATCCAATTCAACTTTGGCTTTTGAGTCCTCTGTAATTTGGACGGAGCAGTTTGGAGAATCGGCCCGTCTGCGGTTCAGAGCAAAAAAAGAAAAAACAGCCAGGTTGGGTTTCAGAACACACAAATTCTGGAGTAGTACAGATGCCTCACGTGGCTGTTTTTCACCGCCTGGACACCAGCGCGCTCTCGTGTCAGCGGGTTCGCACGTGGGCACGGCTCCACGCGGACTGACTCCAGCTCGGTACCTGTGCAAGGCTGACCCCGGGGATGAGCCCGACGCGACCGGGGGGATTGGAGGGTGTATGTGTGTGTGTTGGGGCGGGTGTTGAATCGAAATGCAAGAAGTTGTAGCGCCCCCGTCCCCCCCCCCTCAATAAAACGTCTCCGCGTGTTTATCCTCGAATGACCCCGAAGCTGAAGCGAGAACATCCCGTTCTCTTGAGATATTAATAGCTTCCCTGGCGTCAAGTGTGGTGCATCGCTTTGCTAGACACGCATTGAAGCCACAAAGTCTGTGGCAGGCAACACATTTTCCTTCAGAGCAAACGTGGTTATAAAACCGCTCGTCATCGTTCTCCATCGGCTGTCAGCGGCTCCTCCGAAAACAATATGCGATAACCGCTTACGAGGGATGCGCACCTTGTTATTGAGGTGCCGAGAGCCGAGTCTGTCTGTTTAGTGTCACACCGAAGAGCGACTCATTGCATTGAAAACGGAATATGGGTCAGTCAGTGTGTTTACATGATGGTATAATTGGAATCTTTGCTTAGTCGGACTATGTTATCTTTCGGGGGGCGGTGCTATTATCCCAATATACATGGCAGTGAATAAATCGGATCATTGGCCGAAAGCATGTCATATCCGATACGATAGGTGGCGCTGTTTTCATTACAACTAGTTGTGATACAGCCATTTCCGCTTGACCTCTTCACCACTACCAACAACAACCAACAACAACAACATCAACATTACGAGAAAGATGGCGAACGGAGAGCAAGGTGAAGCTACATCCCTCTACTATTTTTGCATGACGTTAATAGGAGTAAAAGTACAGCCAATGCGAATGGCGCTATTGGCTGATTTGATAACGGAGAGAAGACGCCGTCGCCGAAGGTACATGGAGAATTTAATTCTGACCAACAATATATTGTTGAACTCTGCCATTGTACCGCAAAGGTCTCGAAGAGCACTCTGGATGAAGAGCAGAAACAAAGTCTTCTGGGAGAGAGATGTTTTAACCGTATTTGATGACGAGGACTGGAAACCGAACTTTCGCATGACTCGAGGATCTTTCCACAAGTTGTGTGGAATTATGAAAGGAGTCATGAAGCCCGCGGAGGTGACTGTTCGAGCACCAATACCGCTGTCCTCCAAGGCGTAGTGGACGACATGTATTGGTAAGTTTGGTCCAAATACATTTAGTTGTCTGCACTGTGCAACGTGAATGCTTACTGATATGTTCAATTCACCGCGACCTCAGGCCTGCGTGTGCGTGTTTGTGTGTGTGTCCTGACCAAAAGTAAGTCGTACTCTGAAGACATATTAATGTATGGGTAAAATCAATAAGATCAATAAATGAGTGAAGCTACTGAAAGTTATTCATGCAGAAACTAGTGGAGCTACCACCAAGCTATTGAGATTTCTAGGTATGTTACAAGCTTAAAGTAGTATGATGTTTTAAAGAGGCTTTATTAGGTTTTTATGTATATTATGTTTTATTTATGCTGAGCCATTTAGTAAGCAAGTCCAACACTGGTAACCATTTCTGTTTCTCCTCCCAGGAACCAAGAGAAATCGATGGCGTCTCAATCGGTCACTTCCTGTTGGTAGATCCAGCGTATCCTCTCATGGACTGGATCATGAAAGGCTACACCCATTCCCCAAACATCACCCCTGAGCAAGAGTCCTTCAATGTCTACTTAAGCTCTGCAAGGACCACGGTGGAGATTGCGTTTGGGAGACTGAAGTCACGCTGGAGAGAGCGTAGTGACTTCCACTTTACATTCACCTCTAAAGTGATTGCTACCTGTTGTGCATTGCACAATTTCTGTGAGAATGAGAAGGAAGTTGTGAATCCCAACCGGTCAGTGGAAGCGGCTACACTTGCATCGAACCTGCCACAGCCAGGTGGTCGTGCCAACAATCACGCAGACAACACAAATGGACAGAGGATCAGAGCCGACCTCACAGATTACCTGAGTGCAAACTTCCCCCTGCGCTGACCATACCTTTAGACGTCTTCATTACATAATTGCCAGTTTGTCATAGGTTTGTAAATACAATTCTTGTACAGTTCATGTGTGTTTCATTCCACAAATAAAGAAACTCACAGAAGTTTTAGTTAAGTGTTTTATTTATAAGAAAAAATAAGAAAAGTAAAACAAGGTATAAAAGCACACAAGTATAAAAGGTAAAACCTTGAATGTCACAAAAAAACAAATATTTATATATATAAATTCTGATTGTGTATGTATATATATATATACACACTGAGGTAGAGTGTAGAAATTGTGCTGTATGAACGGTAAGGTGCTTTTCAGGCGGTAGTGCAAATAAGTAAGGCATCCATAACCATAATACGCATCATGTGGTGGTTGATGTTGTGGTGGTGGTGACAATGTGTTTGGTTGAGGTTGAATGTTATCCATTCTCTGCATCAGCTTCTCAACCATACTGTCAGTGCGGAGGATGCTGGCGATCAACCGTGTCCATGTCCTCCTTCCATTGTTGAGTCATGACTTGCATCTGGTTTACCAGCACATCGACGTCTCTCATTCGCCTTGTTTGCTGGGTCCTCGTTCCTTTAAGAAATGGAGGTATAAAGTCAGTTGTATTCCTACCGATTAGGCATGTGGTAGTAACCATCTTGACATCAGCTGTTTGTTAGACTACACAGGATGAGTGAAAGCATGGCATGAAGATTCTTTGTGATGCCCATATGTTGATGCAGTTATAATATTGCAGAACTTACCAGGTAGATCATCGGTAATTGTAGCACGCAGTGGAGTAGTTGAAGGTGGTGGAGTGCAAGCTAGGAGGATCCAGATGAGCCTCCGAGCAGCGTCTCTTTTGGGTCCATTGTAGTATCTATAAGATGGTACAGCACAAATTATAATAAAACGTTATTTATATAGCACCTTTCATGCAAAAGAATGCAGCTCAGAGTGCTTTACAGCAAATACGTGCATAATTATGTGCACAAAGAAATTACATGCACATAAAAATAGACAAAGAAACATAAAAACTCAAGTATAGTGCAAAAACAAATCTAGAAAGTACAGTTTATGTAATGTACACTTTATTACGTTTGTAACTAGCTTTCATTCTAAATTGAATTCCTTACAAGTTACCGGGAAGGTCTACACGTTTCTCAAAGACTAAGCGCTAGCTAGCAAGTGGCACCCATGTTAGCTGCGAAAGTTACGGTTATCAAGTGGGACCCAGGTTAGCCTTACGTTTTATGATTGTACATTGTTTTCATCGTCAATTTAATTCCTTGCAAGTTATGGGAAGTTACACATGTTTCAACACATATTAGCACTGCTAACACATCTCACAAACAGCATCAGCTAGCATCTGGTATCTAGCACTTGTTTTAGTGTGATGCAACTGAAATTAACTTACCCATGGTAGTTGGCAACCGAACACCTGAATCTACGCCGTTGTGCTCTACTAGGGACTCTTGTGTTGTCCATAGCATTGTTTGTTTGTTTTCTGCCGGCCAGGCTCCCAGCAGTCTCTTTCGACTTCTGGGTCACGACCTGGGAGGGAGGAGGGCGGCGGGATCTCAAGCATGCGCAAAGACGCAAAGTCCAGTTCCTTATCCGATTCACCGTTACATGCCGCAATAGTCGAACTATCAACTGGATCGGATCGGAAGTTATCCTGGGGTGTTAATCGGATTGTAGTCAGACCGCACACAGTCGGACAAAGGTGTTTATATAAAACGGATAATTCAATTTCATTCCGACTAAGCCAGTTATTTGAATCCATGTAACCACGCTGAGTGTACCAGAAATAAAAAAAACACATAGATGCAGCGTGAAAGGTGTAAAGTACAAACGTCTGCAGACGAACAATCACATGCAGTTTGACGCCGTTATGGGAGCTGTTTTTTTTTTTGTGGACCGGCTGAAAAGCATAAGCGCACAATGCACAATAAGCCGTATGCTAACTCAGTCCCCTTCCCCCTATCCTGGAGCCCTGTAAGACCGGAGCTACTGAGCTTGGCCTGCACAGCTCCAGAGGGAGGGAGGGAGGGAGGGGAGTTTCTGTTGCTATGTTCCCGGGGAGTATCCCGTGTGGAGGATCTATGGGCTGGCCCATTTGGAGGGCTGACATCGCAGTGTCTTATGTAGGTCAGCGCCCCTAAGGCACGCTGAGGGGAAAGCATCCTCACACAAGGCCCATACTGTGCCGTGAGTCTTTACATTTGACTGGTGACCAGAGACCTGATGTCGCAACCGCTCTGTGTTATTTCATCGTCTCCATGCAACGTGCTAACTGCTCCACAAACAAGTGAGCCCGGCCTGTTTTGTCATCTGCTGTTTCAAGGCCAAGAAAAAAGTGAGCTTCAACTGTGTTCTGCAACTCGATATAACAGTTCTTCCTGTAAAATAGTTAGTTCAGTTTGAGTAGCTACCTTAAGTCTATTTAATGGAAGTTTATTCTATTATGTTTTAAGTTTGTAGTGCTTCATAACCATCGAGGTGCATGCTTCGCTGCAGGGAGTTTCTGTATTACATCAGCCGCGTCTCAGCTAAACCCCACTTCCTGTGAGTGTGAGGCAATTGTTTGTGGGAAATTATTTGATTTGAGCAGACAACGAAGCCTCAGCAGAAACACAGAGCAAAAGTCTCATGTGTATACTTAGCGAGTGAGCGCCTTGTACATGCAGCTCAGGAAGGAGCTTTTATTCAGAACTCACAGCACAGCATGTGCTTGAACAATGTCCGAGTTTGGTAAAGTTAATGATTAGTGAAATTACTTTCTGTAATTCAATGTTTATTGGCCGTGTTCTGGATTTGACATCCTCAAATGTCACACATTCATAGGTCTGGCTGCAACACAGCTGATGAGGTTTTTCTCGACAATACGTCTCTCGAATGAAGAAGTTTGCTTAGTCTCCCAACACAAAGTTTCAGATTATCTAATGATCTAATTACAGTCAGAGGAAAGAGCCCCTAGATGACAATATAATCAGCACTCGCTTGTCAACTTGCTTTGACTTTGGCTTTTATGGTTTCTAGAGATGCTCCGATCTGATCGGCGCCGATCCATATCGGCCGATATTGCCATTATCGGTTTTGATCGGCGTTCTCAAAACGGCCGATCAAATTTGGCCGATCAGATGACATAAAATCTGCGAGAACTACTATCAGAGACGTTTCAATAAAACGTTAGAGATAGGCATTTCAGGCCGCCAATGTTAAGACATTATTATTATTATTATTTTTTTGAAAAGCTTGTGATTGGCTGTCTCTCCATGTTATTAAATTTCATTGGCCCCCGTCTCCGGTGGCGGGTGGGTGAAACCACTGAGACAAAATGGCTTCGCCGGTCTGGCAATATTACAAGGTGTCGGAAAAAGATAATAAATTTGCATTTTGCAACGTCTGCTCAAAAGTAGTTCCCCGTGGAGGAACGCGTCAAAGGGGTTTCAACACCACGAACCTCATACGGCATTTGAAAGCTTGTCACATCAAGGAATTTGAGGAGTTTACGAAGTTGGCGAGCGTTAAGGCAGATAAAGACAAAGAGCGTGCAACCTCTTCCCAAACGCCACTCACTCAGCTGACCGTAACAGAGACATTGAAACGACAGCAACCATACAGCAATGACAACAAGAGACAAAAGGAATTAAATGCAAAGGTAATGGAATTCATATGCCTTGCTCAGCAGCCGCTGTCTGTTGTGGAAGACGCCGGGTTCAAACGCCTTGTATCCTGCTTGGATCCACGCTATACGCTGCCGGGCCGAAAATACCTAACTGATGTTTGTCTGCCGGAATTATACCGAAATGTCTACACGCACATCGAGAGCCTTATGAAGGACAACATCAGGGCAGTTAGCTTCACGAGTGACATTTGGAGTTTGAGTGTCTGTCCTGTGTCTATGCTGAGCCTAACTGTGCAGTTTATTAATGAACACTTCGAGCTGACCAAAGTGGTGCTTCACTCACAAGAGTTTCCCGGATCGCACACCGCGGAGGCACTTGCTGCAGTTTTCACAGACATGTTCCAAGCATGGGGAATCCCACAAGAAAAGGTGCACGTTATTCTGCGGGATAACGCCAGGAACATGGAGAAGGCCATGAGGGACGCGCGTTTACCTAGCCTACCGTGCATGGCGCACACCCTCCAGCTCGCTGTGCATGAGGGAGTTTTGGCACAGCGTGCCATCATTGATGTCATCGCAAGTGGAAGACGCATCGTCGGTCATTTTAAGCATTCACAGCTTGCTTACTCCCGACTGTTCAGTATTCAGAAACAAATGAATCCGAACCAGCCTCCAAAGAGGCTACAACAGGATATACCCACCCAGTGGAATAGCACTGTTGCCATGCTAAAAAGTTTACTGGAACAGAAACGTGCCCTATGTGCTTATGCAGCTGACTTTGAATTGCCTTCCATGTTGACCGTCCATGAGTGGAAATTGGTGGAGAATATGATTTCAGTGCTTGACCCTTTTGACGAGCTTACAAAAACGATAAGTTCATCAACTGCAGCAGCTGCAGATGTCATACCATCCGTCAGAGCTTTAACTCGTCTTCTTGAGAAAACAACAGAGACTGACCACGGTGTGAAGACAGCGAAAACCACGCTCCTGGAAGCTGTCAAGAGGAGATTCAGCGACATTGAATCTGAGCGCCTGTATACCATCGCTACACTCCTTGATCCACGGTGAGAACTCCACATTTGTGTGTGTGTGTGTTTGTGGTATATATGTGTGTGTGCGCGGTGTGTGTGTGTGAGAGAGAGAAAGACATGATTTAATATGGTTATTTAACTATGGCCTAAACATGATTGATAAAAGGGGCAATGCTGAAATTAAAGGTAAAATATAATACTGTTGTGTTATTCTGTAGTGTAGGATGGTTTGCATTTCCTCCAAACTCACCTGAATTTGATTTTAAAAGCAGTTCATCTCAACTATAAAGAATGGAAATTGGGGCTATGCTATGGGGCCAAGCCCATGCCTAATTTATTCAAGAGTTGAGCATGATGACCTACAACATGTATTAAATACATGAATTAATTAATGTTGCCTTTTGTTTCTCTCATAAAAAAAGATATAAGGACCGATATTTCCCCGTCGGACTCAAGCCACAAGTGCGCAGG